TGACGAGCACTAACAGTAATTTACACCCCACATAGTACGGTTTTCTATCAGTTTCATAGTTTCAGCAGAGCATTACGTCAAATAGAACATAAAGGTCCTTGCCACATACAGCTATACCTCTGTGGACCCCAAGGACCCTACACCACGGACTCAGGCCCCGAATCAGTAAGGCCCGACTGTAGGTGCTGGGCCGACTAACCTCTAGTGGCGAGTCGCCTGGCGACGAGGCATTCGGGTTTAGGGCTCGGGGTCTCTCTAATTTGCTACACAGGGTCCTATGAGGGTTCAGGGCTGGTTTAGGGGCGAAGCGTTCAGGGAATTTAAAGCTCTCAGGGTTTAAGGGTTACTTAGGGTTTTGGGCCTTCGGCTGGTTGCTTCGTCGGGTTCTTTGAATCTTCATAAACTGTTACTAGAAGGGTTGTTGGTCAAGGGCCCAGAGCTTTATGTTTCGAGGGTATAGGCTGGCCTTAAAGTCAGGCATGGGTATGTGATAAGCCACTTGGGGGCTTGAGTTTACATCACAACAGGCAGGCATTGTTTTGGCATTTGTACTGTCATGTGCAGCTCATATGACACATACAACTGCATGTTGCCCCCAGTGACAATCAGGCAGGCTTGCTGTGGACCTCTTTTGCATTGCTTTCGTTTGCAAAGTATAGGTGTGTAGTTCAGGCTTTGTGCAAGCTTTCTTTCTTGTGGAAGCACAAAGACTCCGGTTTGTCGATTCCGGGCTTTTTGGGGATAGGCCACGATCAGGGGAGTAGAATTCCGAAGCAGCAAAGTCCACACAAACTTCATCAAGTGGTCTGGTATCACTTTGCTATTATACACCGCCCGGGATCGTGGTCGAAGGTCTTCGTTAGCTCTTGCAGTAGGCCCTTCCGGGTAGTTGTACCTGAGAGCTCCATCTCAGCCGCTCCGCTGAGCTTTGCTGAGTGGCTGGTCATGGGTGCTGGTATGACTACACTGCCATCCAGGAATGGGCTCATGGATCTTAACTGGGAGAATGTGTACCATGCAGCCAAGACGTCTTCCACCATGAAACTCCTACGGTTGTTGCAAGACCTATCGAGCCAGCATACCGCAGGCGCCTTAGTCAATGCAGGGCTGGTGCCAGTGGAAGGTGCGTTCATTGACATCGATCCACAAGTCTGGGTGCAGCACGTGTCAAATGCGGTCGCCATGAAAGAAGCTGAAGATAAACACTGTCGCTCCGACACGTGGCAGTTTATATCGGAGCTGTTGCACCTTTCGTTGCGGCGCTACGCCAGCTTGCCGTTTCAAGGAGCTGTCTTGGGCATGAGCCCAGCCGAGCGGAAGCTGTCCTTCTCCAGGCGTCTGGCCCTCTTCCGATCTTTGCTTGCTATTTCTGGGTTTCGCGTTATGGCAGGGGAAGCCAGACTCCAGGATACATGGGACACCTGTGCGCGCAGCGTGACGCGGGATGACACTCGCTTCCTGTGCTGGCTTCTCGTCTGCGCCGGGGCGAACACAGAGCCCGACGACATGTCAGCAGCACCAGACGTGGTACGTACAGCCCAGCGTGTGATCGAGTCCCAGCAACTGGGTCTCTACATTTCATAGCCCTTTGGTCAATTTTGTGGTTTTAGTGAGCATCTCTAAAGCCAAACAGGCATATCCAGTACTTCTGTGGTTGCACCAAAGCCAAGGCAAAAGATGTGGGCACATACTCTTTGTGGACCACGTGGTGGTGCCGTCCGGCTTCCACGGCGAATTGCTTCCTTGGTGATTGGATTTCTGGGCGCACCCTGCTTGATGCAAAGCAGAGAACCTGCGATTCGAAGACAGCCTTGCACTCTGTTGTAGCTCATGAAGAGGAGGTTCCCCTTGCAGGCTTTCTCATGCCCCACGCCCGAAATCTAAAACCTCCACCGATCTATTTGGGTTCATGCATGTGGAGAAGCTCGCAAGCCGCGTTCATGCTGTACAGTCTTGGCACGGATCGCCTCTGCGCTTACAGAAGCAAAATGTGACTGGGTGGTTACCCCCCGAGAACCAGTCTATGTACATCTTTGCATGCGGGTATGCGCGCATGCACGGATGAATGCTTACGCACGCACTGAGACAACCTGCGTCAGCTACATGTTCATATCTGGAACCCTACTGTGGCAAGTCGTCTTCATCATGAAAAGGTCTTATGCTGTCTTCCAGGGAGGAGTGGTAGAGAATTCAGAGCCAGCCGCCTCAGACTTTGAGGGGAGAGGGCCTTGGTCTTTTGGTTGTTTTGAGTTTAGGATTGGGGTTGAGGGTTTCGATCCCAGTCCCAGTGTACGATTTGGAGAAACAACCAACCCTAAGTCCTAAGCCCCTAAACCCCAAAACCCTAATACCCTAAGTCCTAAACCCTAAGTCCTAAACCCTAACACCCTAAACCCTAAGTCCTAAGCCGCAATGCCCTAAAACCATAAACCCCAAACTCTTCAGTGCTCAGGACCCCGAGGCCTCTCACA